CCCCCCCCCCCCCAAAAAAAAGAGATAGTGTGAGGTTTGTGCTAAGTAGTAGTAATTCCTCTCCCTCTTTTTTGTGCTGGTCTTGGGGCTTAAACTCAGGGCCTGGGCACTAAACTTTAGCTTTATCTACTCAAGGTTAGCACCCTACCACTTGAACCATAGCTCCATTTCTGGCTTTTACTTGGGCTAACTTTTAACCTCAGTCCTCAGTTCATCCTTCTGAAAGCTAGAATTATAGGCATGAACCACCAGTGACAGCTAGAAGAAACTTTTATTTGAATCTTGCTGAGTTTTTACCATTTCAAAGGAGAATGCTAACCCCCATATCTTGTAACTTAAGAGCATTAGAATGAAGGGAAGCTTAACTACTTTATTTTCAACACCCTTCTTATAGTCATTAAAAAGAATATATAATAAAGAATATAATAAATTCTCACCTGTCTCCTCTCCTGTCACATTTCTCTCCCTAAAGAACATTGGTCCCCTTTTAATCTTAAAAAGGGAGTACAGAGAGAGGAGAAAAGAACCCCTGGGTGTCTCCTAATTCATGACTGGGAGACAGGGATGGTTTCAGCATTTCTTCTTTATAACTAACCTGCCTCACCTATGTTGTAAGGTGAGGCGCTCTTTTGGACTAGGACAACACAGTTCTGTAAAAGGGGACTCTAATTCATTTCCTCCCTCCCTTCTCTGCTCACTTCCTCCCTCTCCCCCTTCTTCTTTCCCCTTCTCTTCCTTTCTTTCTTGTGCTGGAGTGTGAACCAGGGTCTTGCATATATACTAGGCAAACAGCCTACCACTGGGCTACACCCTGATCCTTCAGTCCCACTTTTAATTCACTATGAAATGTTTTTGCCATGCAACACCACCAATTTCTAAATTGAATTTCAAAGGATTTTTTTGGGGGGTGGTCTGGTCGTGGGGCCTGAACTCTGGGCCTGGGCGCTGTCCCTCAGCTCTTCAGTTCAAGGCTAGTGCTCTACCACTTGAACCACAGCGCCACTTCTGGCTTTTTTCTTTTTGCTTATGTGGTGCTGGGGAATTGAACCCAGGGCCTCATGCATGCAAGGCAAGTGCTCTACCACTGAGCCACCTTCCCAGCCCCCTCAAAGGATTTTTTTCATCTCATTAAAGACAACTTATCCTGGTTGCCGAGACACACAATCTTTTAAAAATATTTTTATTATCTTTAGTGTATAAAAGAGTTGTCATTCAACAAAGCACTGTGTGAATTCAATGGGTCTTAATCAATGTCAGTCCTTTCAACATTCTCATCCACACCTCCCAACCGACTCAACACAAATCTGGAGACAACAAAAACATTTTCAGAACGAAGCTAGATTCCACAGCATCCTTCAGGAATTACAACCACAGGAGATAATGACACACAGGCCTGACGGGTGCATCACAACACAAGCACGTGCCAGGTGATCATGTGCCCAATTAAGTGAATATTCTAATTACGTGCTCACCGGCTCAGAGACAGATGGTGACACAGCCAGACTTCCCAAGGACTTGCCCAACACTGCTCCAAGAATCTCAGGGCACGTGTCTCGGCGGGTGACGCAGGCCGGCAGCCCGAGGGGATTGCTGGCTCACGCCCACTGGCGATCCTGGACGGCGGCCCCGCCGAGACGGCCGGCTAACCTGCACCGCGCCTCTTCCCATCTCCGGACGCGGGGTCTCCGCTCTAAGGTGGGGCTCGCCCCAGATTTGTTGTACTTTCTCTTAAATGTGTATCTTAACATTTGCTTACAAATAAAGGGAGAAAATGGCGTTTGTTAGAATCAATTGTTTCAGGTCCAGGGGAACGTACGGTGGCTGACTTCAATACCGTGCCCCCTCGTCATCAGTGACCACGCCAAACCGGGTCCCCCAAATCGCCGACATCCCCAGCGCCCTCCTTACCTAGCCAGCCGCGGGAGGTTTCCCAAGCCCTCAAACTTCCTTTGCACACTGCCCCACGGAGCGCCTCAGTAAGTGTGCTGGCAATCGCACCCTACCCTCCACCCACAGCCCTGAAACCCCACTCCCGTCGGCGGCTCCGCAACGCTGACACCCACCCCGCGTACACCCCGACCGCACCGCACCGGGTTTCCCCGAGACCCTCCGGGGACCCCTCTCAAGCCCCGCCCCTCCGCGCGAGGGCCCGCCCCTTCTCTACGTCACAGCAAACAGCGCCGGAAGCCACGCCCCCGGCCGGTTGCTAAGCTTCAGCAGCCGGAAGTCCCGCCTGCCGTGTAGTCGCTGTCGCCGCCGCCTCCGCCGTCGTTGTTGTTGTGGTCGGTTCGCCGGACTCCGCGGCTCCGAGAGCCGGCTCTGCCCCCTCCCCGCCGCCGCCATGAAGTGGATGTTCAAGGAGGACCACTCCCTGGGTACGTGCGCGGTCGCCAGCCGGGCCGGGGGCCGGAGCTCGGCCGGCCCCCTCCCCCACCCGGGCCGCCCCGGGGCCCAGTCGGGCGGGGCGGGGGCCGGGCCGGGGCCTGGGTCGCCGCGGGACCTCCCGGCTGGGCGGCGGCGCCCCGACCCGCTGCTGCCATCCGGGGGCCTCCGGGGAGCTCGGGGCCTGAGGAGCGCGGCCGCGGGGACACCGGGACGGGAGCGCGGGCGCGCGCAGGTCGTGGAGGGGGAGGAGGGCGGAGACGCTCGGGGACCCGGAGCCCGCCGGCGGGCGGACGCCGCACAGCCCCCCGTGTCTCTCTCTTAGAACACAGATGCGTGGAATCTGCGAAGATCCGAGCGAAGTACCCCGACCGCGTTCCGGTGAGTGTCGGAACTCCCCGCCCCCTCGCCCCACTGGCACCCCCGGAGTCGGAGCCGCCGCCGGCCTCCGGGCCGCTCAACAGTTGGAAAGTTGAGGTTCCAGCCCTCGCTAGTGACCGGCCAGTCCGCGTCGGGGCCCGTCGAGGGCGGGGACCCGCGGCCTGAGGGTCTTGCCTGGTGCTGTTCAGGTGCCTCAGTGCTGAATACCCCGATCTAGGCCAGTAAGCTGTCGGCTCCCTAGCCAATTATGTAAGAAAGAAGTTCTAGGACAGGGCGACTAGTCGCTGCCACTTTTGGGAACGCTGGTGGAGGAGAAGTGTCACTTGGGTCTTGGAAGTGGTACTTTAGTCTCAGGACATCTTTTAAAATCGGGAGC